AGGCTAGCGCTCAACCACTTGAGCCACAGTGTCACTTCCGGCTTTTTTCTTTTTGCTTATGTGGTGCTGGGGAATCGAACCCAGGGCCTCATGCATTGCAAGGCAAGCGCTCTACCACTGAGCCACCTTCCCAGCCCTGGTAATGTGTTTTTAATGAGGCCAATGGGGGGGGGGGGCTGTTTGTAACTTGGTTCTATTTGATAGCTAGGCTGGTCTCTGCCTCCTAGAGTGCTGGGATTACAGGCGTGCCCCACCACACGGTGCTAGCCACCAATCTCTGATGATCCTTATTCCCAATACACCTGTCAGTTCTGGACCTCAAATCCTCCTTAACTGGTTTTGTTTTTGCTGGTTAGGGGACTTGAACTCAGGGACTGGGTGCTGTCCCTGAGCATTTTTGCTCAAGGTAAGTGCTCTACCACTTGAGCCACAGTACCACTTGCCATTTTCTGGTGGTTTATTGGAGATCAGAGTCTCCTGGACTTTCCCGCCTGGGCTGGCTTTGCACCGATCCTCAGATCTCAGCCTCCTGAGTAGCTGGGATGACAGGCGTGAGCCACCAGCGCCCCGCCAACCCTTTACATGTTGTTGTTGCTGTTCTTCGGGAAACAGACATCTCATGACAGAGCCCAGGCTGGTCTGGACCCAGGGCACCGGGGCCCCCACTCGGTGAGGCACCTACCGCTGGGCGTGGCAAACTGGATGAGGACGCTGTTGCAGCCCAGGGTGACGATGAAGGACTGGCGGCCCACGCGGCTGCACTCCGTCTCGCGGGACACTGAGCACTTGAACACACACACATCTTCATCTGTGGGACAGAGCACCCGAGGGTGTCAGCGGCGCATCCTGGTGGCTGGCTGAACCCACTTTACCCCGCCGCACCCCCCCCCGATTCTCCAGGGGAGCCCCAGGCCCACCCTGGGTCCCTCGGGGCCAGTAAGGGAGGAGGAGGACGGGGCTGATGGGTGATGCTGAATGAGGGAAGTTCTAAACAAGGTGAACCTCCTCTCAGGCTCCAGCACCCAGGAAGCACCATCGTCCTCCCCACCCCCATCTCCATTTCCGGTCACTGCAACTGTAGCCAAAGGATGAACTCCCAACAGTCTGGCCCTGCCACGCCACAGGGAGACAGCTCGAGTCTCTGCGTACTATACCACTACTGCTAGTGTTATTATTACTGTTGTCATTATTGTTGTTTACTGCTGGTATCACTATCCAGGTTTGAATTCAGGGTCTTGAGCTAGCTGGGCTAGGGCTCTACCACTTGAGCAGAGCCTCCAGCCTGGCTTTTTGCTGGTTCTTTTCAAGATCAGAGTCTCAAGGACATTTCTGCCTCAGCTGGCCTCAAACTATGAGCCTCTGATTCTCAGCCTCCTGAATGGCTAGGATTACAGACATGAGACATCTTGATCCTGGTACTTTCAGAAGAGCTCAACAGACAACGAATAGCAGGACATGGCACAGTCCTAGAAGCAGCGAGCACACCTGTCCCGTGGCCTGATAGAAAAGATCTTTAAAAGACAGGCCAGGAGCCAGGCGCTGGTGGCTCACGCCTGTCATCCTAGCTACTCAGGAGACTGAGATCTGAGGATCATGGTTCAAAGCCAGCCCAGGCAGGAAAGTCCACAAGACTCTTTGTTTTTGTTTTTGTTGGTCATGGGGCTTGAACTCTGGGCCTGAGCACTGTCCCTCAGCTCTTCAGCTCAAGGCTAGCACTCTACCACTTGAGCTATATAGCACCACTTCCAGTTTTCTGGTGGTTTATTGAAGGTAAATGTTTCATGAACTTTCCTGCCCAGGCTGGCTTTGATCCTCAGATCTCAGCCTTCTGAGTAGCTAGGATTACAGGTGTGAGCCATCGGAGCTGGGCGCCCAGCTCCGTGAGACTTTTATCTCCAATAAACCAGTAGAAAACCGGAAGTAGCACTGTGGCTCAAGTGGTAGAGTGCTAGCCTTGATCTGAAGAGCTCAGGGACAGTGCCTAGGTCCAGAGTTCAAGCCCCACAACTGACCAAAATAAATAAATATAAATAAATAAATAAAAGCCAGGTCAGGTGCTGCAATCTTAACTACAGGAGGCTGAGATCTGAGGATCAAGTCTAAAGCCAGCCCAGGCAGGAAAGGCCTTGAGATTCTTCTCTCCAGTTAACCACACAGAAAAAAGCTGGAAATGGAGCTGTGGCTCAAGTGGTAGAGCACCAGTCTTGAGCACAAAAGTTCAGGGACAGAATCTAGGGCCCCAAGTTCAAGTCCCAGGACTGGCACCCAATAGTTTATAAATAGAGTAATGGGCTGGGAATGTGGCTTAGTGGTAGAGTGCTCGCTACCTGGCATACATGAAGCCCTGTGTTTGATTCCTCAGTACCACATATACAGAAAAGTGGTGCTGTGGCTCAAATGGTAGAATGCTAGCCTTGGGAAAACAGAACTAGGGACAATGCCCAGGTCCTGAGTACAAGCCCCAGGACTAGCGGGGGGTGGGAGGGAGTTTTCAAATAGAACAAGAAAAATCTCATTAAATTGTTCTAAGAAGGGTAGATCATCACATTGTATGCTTGTATAGAAATATCCCAACTCACGTAAGCCAGGAAATGATCACAAAAACAACTTAAGTTTCCAATCCCTCTCCATCGCCAAAATGATCAGGAAATAGAACAGAGTTGGAGGAGTCACGCTTCCCAATCGGAAAATGTACTGCAAAGGAATGAAACTGTAGTTCTGGCAAAAGAACAAACAGATCTGTGGGATAGAATCAAGAGTCCAGAAATAAACCTTCCTATTTAGGGTCAATTGATTTGACAAGGATGCCAAGAACACTGCATAGAGAAAGAAGAAGTCTCTTCAACAAAGGACAATTAGAGACCTAGATAGCTATACCTGGAAAATGAAAAAAGTAGCTCACTGCTTCACACCACAGCAATCCAGGGCTAACTTAACATGGTTAAAGAACTAAACACCAGAGCCAAAGCTATCAACTCTCAGAAGCCAAAACAGGGGGCTAAAGCTTTTGAGCCTTTGAATTAAGCAATGGATTCCCAGCTGTGAGATCAAAAGCAGCAGCGATGAAAGACAAAAGCATACACTGCACTTGGTCAAAATCACAGGACGAGGAGGACCACTTCCAAAATAGCAAGAAACTGGGCACTGGTGGCTCATGCCTGTCGTCCCAGCTACTCAGGAGGGCTGAGATCTGAGGATCCTGGTTCAAAGCCAGCCGGGGCAGAAATGTCTATGAGACTCTTATCTTTAAAGAACCATCAGAAAACCAGAAGTGGCGCCATAGCTCAAAGTGGCAGAATATCCCTTGAGCACAAAGAGGCTCAGGGACAGCGCCCAGACCCTGCATTCAAGTCCCATAGCCAGCAACAGAAACAACAAAAAACAAGGGCAAGATGGCCAAGAAAAGCCCCCCCCCAATCATTTCTGTGTCAATACTGGGGCTTGAACTCAGGGCTTCATAATCCCCCTTGGCTTTATAGCTCAGGGCTGGTGCTGAGCTACAATTCCAACCGGCATTTTCCTGGCTAATTTGGAGATGGAAATCTCACACATCGAAGGGCTTCAAACCTGGATCCTCCGGTCTCAGCCTCCTGAGTAGCTAGGATGACAGGCAGGAGCCACCAGCACCAGATTAAGAAAGAAAGAAAAAAACAAGGACACACTCTGGAGGCCTGTGCTTTTAACTACTGACAGGAAGCATCAGGACACCTGTGGCAACCTAGACAAAAGTCAGAAACATCTAGAGCAGAGAAAGGCAGACACAAAAAGGTCACGCGGTGAATGAGTTTCCTTCTCGGGCCAGCTGGGAGGAGAAGGCGGCATGGCACAGGGGCTGAGCCGAGCCGGCAGCCAGGGGCAGCGGGAGGCGGCGCGGGGGGCGGGGCTCGGGGGTGTGGGGTTTCCGTCTAGCCTGATGACAAGGTTTTGGAGCTAGAGAAAGGTCATGGTTGCACAACACCGTGAATGGGCTACAAGCCCCAGAATTTCACACTTGAGATGATCTGCTTGAGGGTAGGGGCCTACAGACACCCACCAGCCCTTGGGTACCTGACCACCATAGTCTGTGTGCCCCAAAAGCTTTGGGGGGTTGGGGTACACAGGGAGGCAGGGCCAGATTCCCCCCCCTCCCCCCCGCCAATGGTGCCCCTGTCCACACCCCTCCTAGGCCAGGAGATAAAAAGTGATCTGGCCACAGACAGCAGAGGCCTGTTTACAAGCCGGGCAGCCTGGCAACCCAGCTGGTTGCCCTGGGTGCCCCTCTGCAGCCTGGCGCCAGGCTTGGGCTGAAGGGCCGGGTTAAAGGCACCCCCCTGCCCCCCGCTCTGCTTCCTAGGCCCCGTGAGAGCCACCAGGAACTAATGAAGGCATGATGAGGAAAGTGGGGTGCAGGAGACGGGACGAGGAGGGTCCACAAAGGGGCAGAGGCTATGAGGGTCCAGCAGGGAAGGACAGGGACTGAGCAGCAGGGCGACACTAAGGCTAAGAGGAGGCCCACTGCCTGCCTGCCCACCTGCCATCCCGGCTGGGGACAACGGCATGAAAACCAGGCGCCTCCACTACCCACACCCCCACATCACAAGCACCCCGGGCCGGCCACGGGCCAGGCCTTGACCCCCCCATCCCCCCCTCGGGCCCCTCTACTCCCTTCACCAAAGCTTGCACAAGTTAAGGGTCTCTTTCAAAGTCACCCAGCAAGAGGGGGGCTGGAGTACTGGCTCCAAGGTCACCCCTCCGAACTAGTGCACCCCAGGATTTCTCTGTGATCCTACAGCAGGCTTTGGCCAACTTTCTCTGCAAAGGACCAGGCAGTAACTATTTTCAGCTTTGCTGAGTGCAGCTCAGTAGGAAACAGCTTGTCTAGATCGTACAAGCCCCTGGGTTCCATTCTTGGCACAGAGGGGAGGGCCAGGTGACAGTGACTCACACCAGCAATCCCAGCTAGTAAGCAGGCTGTGAGCTGAGGACCCAAGTTCAAAGCCAGCTCGGGCAGGCAAACCCACGACACTTATCCTCCATCAGCCACTAAAAAGTCAGAAGTGGGGCTGGGACTTAAGTGGTAGAGTGCTAGCCTTAAGAAAAATGGCCTCCCCGACGGTATAACCCCTGCTTTCACTGTATTTGATGTTGGTATAATTTGTGGAGGGGAAGGGGAAAAACAAATCGTTTGAATAGGGATACAGGTGGACCCATTGCAAAAATGAGATGTACAAGTCATGATGTCAAAAAACGAACTTTACAACTTTGGTTGGGGGGGGAGAGGGGGAATGAGGATGGGGGGGCGGGGGGAGGCTGGGAAGGGATGAGAAGGGGAAACAAAGGAGGAGGCTACAATGCTTGATAAGAAATGTACTCATTATCTTGCCCAAGTAATTGTAACCCCTCTGGTACAGTATTTTCACAATAAAAAGAAAAATGGCTTAAGGACAGCATCTAGGCCCTGAGTTCAAGCTCCAGGAGCAACACAAATGAAAAAACAGAAGCGGGGTGAGGGAAGAACCCTGTAAAAAAATACATACATTTTTGCCTTTATGGGCAAGATTAACGCTACTATGACCTATGACGGCTCCCTTCTGCTTTGCATCAGGCAAGTAAATGAGTGGTGTGTGTGCCAATAAAACTTTATTTACAAACCCAGGCAGGGGGCCAGGTCTAGCCTACAAGGATAGTGGTGTACAGAGGTAGAAGTATAGGTACAGGGCTGGGACAAAGCCTCTTCTCCACCACCTGCTCACCATGGAGACAGCTCCCCATCCTGGAGGAGTGAGTGGATGGCCAAGAAACACAGATGCCCCGGTGAGGGCCGCACGGGGACGCTAGGTACCTGGCTGCCCCAGGCTGGGCAGGAGACCAGAGCCAACCCTGAGGTGAGAGGAAGGAGCCAGAGAGGGCAGGAGATGGCGGGCCAGGCCAGGGCCAGCGGGCTGGTGAGGGCGGCGGAAGAAGCCACTCACAAGCCCTGGACAGCGTGTCCAGCCCAGCGGCCCTGGCCTCTACCTCTCCCTCCTCGGACAGGTCCCCCCTGCCCTGCCGCCCGAACCCCACTGCACTATGGCTCCTATTCATGCAGGCCTCACTGGGAAGAGCAGACACAGCCAGGGATGGCTACTGCTCATGGCTGCTGGCCTAAATTTAGTGGGGTCCCCACCACAGAGGAGGTGGGGTGGAGCGTGGGAGTCCAGGGGCACAGGCCCAAGTGCTGGCTGGGGAAGCCCAGTCCCCTAAGGAGGTAAAGTTTCCCCCAACACACACACACACACACCACACACACACACACTCACACACACACACTCACACACCACACACACACACTCACACACACACTCTCATGTACACATACACACCACACACACACTCACACACACACACTCACACACCACACACACACACT